GATGAAGCTCGTTCTGCAGCTCACGACAATCTTGTGTCTCTTGAGAAAGAAGCCGAAGACGTTACCGCCAAGGAATCTGCCAAGAAGAAGAAGAAGGACAAGAAGAAGTCTCCACAAGAGATGATCGATGAGCTCAGTGCTAAAGTTTTTGAAGCAAAGGCACTCATTCCAAAGATCGAAGAAGCTGCCAAGAACGAGCATCTGCCAGCTGAGGACAAACCAAAGGCCGAACAACTTGTCTCGAATCTCGAAGCATTCGTCAAGGATGTTGAAACTCAGGTTTCCGAGAAACAAGACGAACTCGACAAGTTGAACAACGCAAACGATGCTATCAAGAGACTTGGAGACGCTCTCGACGATGCCGAAAAGACTGCTGTTCCAAGCAATGTGACAGCACTCAACGAGTTCAAGGATCGCATCGCTCCACACATTGCCACTTTGGTTGAAGCTGTCCAACAGGTTCCAGACAGTGTTGAGCCTTCAGCAGCTGCTTTGCGTGACCGTGCCGCCAAATTCGTGTCTGATCTGGAGAAGAACATCGAGAAGACTGGAGACGATGAAAAACGTGCCGAACAACTGAAGAGCGATGTCGGAAATGCCGTCAGCAATGTGGATGATGTTGTTTCGAAATATCACAATCAAACTCAGCCACTCGACGTTGCCAAGGAAGATGCCAACAAACTCAAGACTGCTGTTGAACAACTCACCAAGTTGGCCGAGTCTAGCGACAAGATCGATCCACAAGTCGCCAAGGACATCAAAGACTCCAAGACCAAGGCTAAAGAATTGCTTCAAGCTCTCGAAAAAGCCATCCCACAGGAAGATGTTATCCGTCGTGAGCAAGCCGAGATTCATGATCGTCTCAACAATCTCGAGAAGGAGCTGGCAAAGGTGGATGAATTCAAACCAGAAGATGCACTTCCAGTTGTTGATCAACTTGCCTCCGATACCACCACCTTGAAGGCTGTCACCGATTCAAACAACGAGAAGGCTGCTGCTCCAAGCTCGCTCATTTCGCATGACGACTTGGTTGTCGGTCTTCCAGAGAAGGTCTTCCAACTTCAACACGCCATCGATGACAAGAAGCAAGCTTTGAACAAGGCAGCAGCTGTCAACGAAATTGCTCCAAAACTGCAACTCGTTTCTCAACAACTCCAATCAGTTCCACAAGACATTCCAGCGTCACTGGACGAACAGAAACAACTTTTGGAGGATGTTGAAAATCAAAAGCACAATTTGGAAAATCTGCTCGCCAACCTTCCTGATAACGACCCAGCTGCTGATGAATTGAGACAGAAGAGCCAATGGGATTTGTCCCGACTCAAGGATCTTTTGAAACAACTTGGATCTGCCGTCGGAGACAAGTTGGCTGCTCTTGCCGCTTTCAATGCCGCTCGCAAGAACGCCGAAGACGCCCTTCTCGATATCACCTGCGAAGATGGAAGTGATGATAACAAGTCGCCAGATGAGCTTATCGATGACCTGACCAAGAAGGAGGAAACTGTTGCCAAGCTTCGTGAAACTGTGGCCGGAGTTAAGCCAGACGAGCTCGATGAGAAGGAACGAGCCGAGTACAACGATCTGCTTGCAAGACTTGCAAACGCGGCTGACGTTCTCAAGGTAACACCATTATTTTCAATTTTTGAGTTTCCTCAACTTTCCAACTAGCAATTTTTCAATCATCCATACAGTACCCCGTAATTGCTCTAATAGAAAGAAAGAAATCCCAAAATTCATGAATTTATTCAAATCCAGAATCTCGAAAAAGTTGGTGCACTTTTTGAACTTTTGAAAAATCCGAAAAAAATAATTGGAAAATTCATAGAAATCAACAAATTGGAATTCTTTTTTGGAAGTAATTTTGGAATTTTCGGATTATTTGGTATTCAATTTTGAAGATTCGAAATTTTTGGAATTCAATTTTTGGAATTTTCATTAATTCAAAAATTGAAATTGTTGAATTCCGAAATTTCAGTTTTTCTGGAATTAAAATGGAAATCAGGAATTTTTAAAATTTTAGAAACAATCAAAATTTCAGTTTTTCGGGTCATTGAAATATTGACATTTTTGGAATGAAAACTTTTAATTTCGGTATTTTTTTGAACTCAAATTTGGAGATTCGAAATTTTTGGAATTCAATTCCGGATGATTAGAAAAAAAGAAAAACGAAAATTGAGTAATTACAATGGTCTAAATTCGCACAATCATTCCAATCCAATTGTTAACCTAGTGTTTTTTTTTGCAGAACAAACGTGCCGAACTCGAGCAAGCACTGAAGGCCAAGGCTGAGGAGAAATCTCTGCACGATGCTGTTGACCGTATTGTGTCTCGTCTTGTGCCACTCGTTCGTGACGCTGAAGAACTCCGTCACAACGCTGAAGCCGTTCCTACCCAATACGCTCCAAAGGCTGAAGAACTGAAGAAGGAAGTCGAAGCTGCGAAGACCATCATCGTCAATGCACCAACATCTGATGCTCATGTGCAACAACTTCTACAAGCCGTTGCCAACGCAGAAACCCTCATTCCGGACCTCGAGGAGAGAGCTTCCATTTGGGAGCGTTTTGTTAAATCAAAGGATGATTTGTATGACGATTTGGAGAAACTCGAAAATACAGTAAGCGATGTCCTAAACAGACCTCGCCTAGCTGTATCACAAGCACAACAACGCTTAAACAAACTGAAGGTATGTGTCCAGCTTTCCGTTATTGTTGACTACTTATATTTTCAGGAACAAATTTTCCTTCTCGACCGTATTCGAAATTCGAAAGTGGATTTCGATGATCAAGGAGAAGCTCTATTGCCACTCACAGTAGTGGACGATGAGCTGCGTTTCATGCACGTTCATGTGGAAAGCATCGAACGACAGTATGAGGTACTTGAACTTTGAATTTTCCTTTAAAAAATGACTTTTTTTCAGGACACTATGGACAAACTGAATTCTGAGATCACTGCTGAAATTGAATTATTACGAACTCTTGACATTCTTTCAAATGAATTATCTCAATGCAAAGAAGACATCAACAATCCAACAGCTGATGTTGATGAACTTGTATGTCTTTCTTTTCCACCTTTCATTCATAAAAACGTTTTCCAGAGCCGCGCTACAATGCTCAATGATGCCATTGCTCATCTCGAAAACCAGAAGGTTGTTGTCGCCAGAAGCGAGAAGGACCGCAAATTTGTTGAAAGCAGCACTTCGACAGATCTTGAACAACTTCTTGCTGAAGCAAAACGTCTTCTCAAGGAAATTGAGCCACGACTAGATGTCTCTCAGCCAGACCATGACAATGAAGATGAAGATGAAGACGAAGAGAAAGGAAGCGAAGAGAAGCCGTATGATGTCAGAGCCGCGGCCGAAGTGCTTTCTGCACTTTACCCAGATGAACATCCGAACAATGTTCTTCGAAACATTGGTTTTGAAGACGTGCCGTCGGATTCCGAATCAAGAAGTGAATTTGACTCTCTTGATAGTCGATCAGATGGACTACTTTCCCCAATTCCTGATGATTCGACTCTCAATGAAGAACAACTCCGCAGACAAAGATCACGTTGGAGACGGGTACTCAGAACTGCCTTGCCACTCCAGGTTTGTTGATAATTCATTTTTTTCAAGTATCATTTTTCTCGTTTCAGGCTCTGCTGGTTCTGCTTATGGGAGCTGCTTGTTTGGTTCCCCACTGTGACGACGAGTACTGTTGTCAACTTCTCAATAACTTCGCTAAAAGTTTTGACCCATCGCTAGAATTTGTAAATGGGCCACCGCCATTCTAATTGTTATTTTATTCATTTATCTCAACCTATTTTTTTCCAATCAAATGTTCATTTAAACCTGCCAAACACACACACAGACACATCCCCGTTGGTTTTTCATCACTTGCATAACATGAATAGATTCCGATGTTTTTTTTTTCAATTCGAGAACGACTTTGTTTTGTAAATATGTTATTTTCTTTATATTTTAATTTTTTATTATTTCGTTTAATGAATTTTTAAAAAAATAACCATTGTTATTACTGCAGCACGAAAGGATAAGGGAAAACATCAAAAGCAATTATTCAGGAATGGATGACATCTCTCTGTAGTTGTTCTAAACACAAAACTACAGAAGTCTTCGTTTCCGTAGACTTCAGCATCGTTGACAGGCATTTTGCATTAGAATAACTGGGATATTATGTTGGACAACCTTAACTTTTCGATCTTCGAAGTTTCTGATCCTATAAATTTATGAATCCCGATTTGTTGAATTTCCAAACTTCTCAGTTTTCGAGCTTTCTAATTTTCAAATTTCCGAGTTTTCGATTTTTTTAATATTCGAATTTTCAACTTCTGAATGTTTGGACTTCCGAAACTTGGCATTTTTAAACTTTTGGGATAATAAAAGTTTCTGATTTTTTTTTATTTCCGAACTCTTAAATTTTCGAAATCATAAAATTTTTAGTTTCCGAACATTTGTGACTCTGGATTCCTGAATTTGACAATTACCAGTCCGAAAAAACGTTTGGACAGGTGCTTTTCGAGAATAAAAATGTTGAAACGAAATCAATCCAATCGGTTTGAAAGCAACTTGAGTCGTGTTTTCAATCTCGTTTCCATCATAAAGCTGTATGCTCTCAATTTTCTCAAGTATACTTCTCCATCGAACTCCCTATTTCATGCACTAAGCATATGAATATGCACCTAATATTCTTATTTTCCCTGTTTAAGTTGAATGATTGCACAGCTTACAAGAACTTGTTTGAGACATTATTATCAAGGTTCAAAAAAAAGAAAAAATAGTGAAATAGTTACTATACTTTCAGATACAATCGAATAGCATTTCCACCTGGAGAAAAGCACAATAACAGTTTAAAAATTGAATTTAAACTTCGTTTAGATCAAATTGTAGATGTGCACGAAAAGGATCAAGTTATAACGTTAAAAGGAATTCTGGTTCATGTAAGTACTTCCGTACCTAGTATCGAGTATTGTTGATATTCAGCGTTGGCATGATATCCGTCTATCCTGGAATCCACAAGAGTTTGGCGACATCACTTTAATGCACTTTCCTGGTGAAATGATCTGGCTCCCAGATATTATTTTATACAACAAGTAGACAAGTTCCCCATAAAAATCTCTAATATTTTTTCAATTGCAGTGCTCATGGAAGTCCTTGGGTATCAGAAACTACTCAAGTGCATGTCTCCCATGAAGGACGCGTTACATGGCATCCTCCAGTTGCTTATGATGCATTTTGTAACATTGACATTGAATGGTATCCTTATGATCTACAAATTTGTGAACTTAAATTCGGATCATGGACCTATGGAGGTTCACAACTAAACTTGATTCATGTGAGTGTTATTTAAGAGGCAGTTTTAATTGATAAAATATTAAGTTGAATGCCGATAAAGCGAAGGAGAGTACAGATTCAACTGGAGAAAATGTTTCAAAAGTAGAAAGAGGAGTCGATTTAAGTAATTATCAAGTAGGTTGTTCATCCAGAAAGTTGTTCGAAGTTTTTTTTACAATAAACATTTTTCTGCGCTTTTAACTCTAGCAAACACAAAACTCATAAGACTCTGCGTTCAATTCGAAGCTTTCGTGGCTACAGTAAACCATGAAAATTGCATACTTTTTAGATTTTGCAGAAAATGTCTGAAAGTTTCAGATTATTTTGAGAACATCGCGCAGATGAACGCGTAAACAATCTAGTTGTTTACTGATGACTAAGCTCCGCCCGTTTCTGTTTACGCGTCAATTCGGAAAAATTAAAAGGGCGGAGACTAGTCTACAGTAACCATCTTTGTTGTTCTTCTGTGTAATTTTCTGGAATTGAGAATAATAATGGTTTCTTTTCAGGAATCAGTTGAATGGGATCTGCTCTCTATCGAAGGGATCCGACACGAAAAATGGTACCCTTGTTGTGACTATCCGTTGGTTTATCATTAGACTACCTGAATATTCCAATATTAATTCCAGATCTATAGATATAACATATTACCTGCATATTCGCAGAAAAAAGTTATTTTATACAATCAACATGATAATTCCATGTGTCTCTCTTGCTTCTTTAACTCTTTGGGCAAGTTCTAGACAATCTATACTAAAATTAATTAGTTCCAATTTTCAGGTGTTTTATCTTCCATGTGAAAGTCATCAGAAAATACAACTATGCATTTCTGTTCTAGTGGCGCTCACCATTTACTTCCTAATGCTTATTGATATCATTCCACCAACCAGTATTGTTACTCCACTTATTCTTAAATATCTCAGTTTTACAATGGTCATGGTTGCTTTATCGGTCACTTGTACAGTTTTCGTAAGTACCATAAAACCTGTAATAGATGGGCCCCTAGTTTTCAACTTTGTGCCAATTCATCTTGGTTACTGTGAAAAGTTGTCAGCTGAGAAATTGTATACCATAATATCAGGTTTTGTCAGTTGTCACATGTTTTGATGTCTATCATAGGAACCGAGGTAATTGAGCTCAAACTGGACAGTGTGGGAGACCTTGAATTACAGGTCTTGCGGTGAATTATTCTGATTCTTGGTGATGTGATTGGTGAGGTAGTTTTTCACTAACAGATGGAACCGTAGACATGAATGCTTCCTATTAGTTCAAATTGTGATGAATTTTTGTGAAATAATTCTAGAAATATTACATTGTCTTCAGGTACAAAACGTACATTATCGTGCTCATTATCAACCAATGCCGTCATTCGTGAAACGGTGGTTTATAGAAATTCTTGGAAAAAAGCTTCTGATATCTAGAAGGACGGAAAAAGCACAGTATCATCGAACCGCCCAACATGTGAAGGTAGTAATAGAAATTTTGAATATAGTTGTGTTTTATGAATTAAAATTTTTCTGGACCAAAGTGGAAAATATTAAATGAATAATGTATATTTCCAGCAAGTAAATGCCCTATCTGCAATGAATATTCTTGAGAAGCAATTTCAAAAGACACTTTTTGAGTTAGAGGTGAGAACACTTGGCATGCTCCTAATATTAGGAATTCATATTCCAGATTGCAACTATGGCAAAGAAGAGTACGACACAGACAGCCAAAACTGTTAACGCAATATTTCTTGAACTTCCAATGCTGAATCGTTCTGTATCTGTTAAAATAAGAAAACCATCTGTCAAAGCTGTGAGGTAAGAATTAAACTCAATATTCTGAAAACGTTCAGAACTTTTTCAGGAACCGTGTTCGTCGTTTGCTGAGTATTGACATGACCGACGACGTCAGAGGGTAAAAACTAAATGTATTGTATTATTCTAATTTACAGCTTTTTTTTCAGAAAAGAATCTGAGGAAATATCTCCGGAGACTGTTAAAGATACCGACCCAGATAGAGAGAAATTGAGAAAAGCCGAGCGAAATATTCATTTCATTGCGAAAACTTTGACAGACGAAAGGAAGGCCGAAGAAGTTGTGACCATTTTATGCTAAAGTTTGAGACTCTAATTTTCAGGCTGAAGCTGACTGGCAGTTCGTGAGTCTGGTTATGGATCGCATACTTCTTATAATCTTCACAATCACCATCACAATAGGAACAGTGTTAACAATGTTCTCCGCACCAACTATGTGTGACGATAGGGAGCCTATAAAAATCTTCTAAGGGTGGTAAATATAACATATGTTTGAGTTTCTTTATCCAAACACATTTTTTAATAAAGTCATACTACGAATAAACATGTTCTTTCCATTTATGCTCAACGTATCTATCGGGTCAAAATGTCGTCATGTCGAAGAGATGAGTCAAATAGCGAATCGTAAATAAAACTTGTAGTAACCCTCCTGAAATGAGGACTCTTGAAGCGCAACACATTTCGGATATCAGTGTTTTTTGAAAACCGAAAATAAATCACTATATTATTGAACCCGTTTCAGGTCATAGTCCCAACCATCGTCCTGCACCTTGCCATCCAAAGTTTTTGAAACGGCACTTATGCTTGTTGGAACAATCACCGGTAATTTTCCCTTCATATTATCCCTCAATAGTTGTTCTATTGAAGTTGCTATCCCTCAATAGTTCTATTCCAGTTGCAATGGATGTTGTCTTCCAGATTCAAAACCAAGCTGATAGTGAGGAGCAGTTCAGAGTTAATATTTAAACCCCTCCAATTTTTGGAATAAGTATGTTGTTAACTTCAGTTCTATGATGTTTTTAGTTACACAATCACTGAAACACTAAAAAAATGTGTAGTCTCGGAGTTACAATAACTCCTGACTCTAGATATGACTAATCCCAACCAGGGATGTGATTTTACGTTTACGAATTTTACGGATTTTAAGGTTTTTGGTACTCGTAAAATTCGTAAAAATTGGATGAGATTTTTTCACCATTTTTGTTCAGATTTGACATTATTCCGGTTCATTTTTATGTTCTTGATCTTGTTTTAAGTTGATTTTATGCTCACATCTCATTTTAAAGCATGAATTCGCTTCATTTTCAAAATATTTTTTTCCAAATTTGAATGCTTTTTTTTCACAATTTAGCATTTTTTAAGGAAAAAATTAGAAAATTGTTGAAACCCCATAGAAACATTCGGTTCTACGATTTTCAACATTTGCGGACCATTTGCCAATTGCTTAATAATAAAACTGCAGTTTTCTCCATTTCAATTGAAGATTCACTTTTATAGGGATTTTACGATTTTACGAGCTTGTAATTCGTGAAATTTAACGTTTTACGAAATTCGTAAAATAAAAATTTTACGCACATCCCTGATCCCAACCGACTAATCGTCTCCAAAGTTCAAATCAGCAGTTCTCATTCCTGGTTCCACCTTAAAATTGTTCCCAGGTCAACTGACCTCGGTGCTGATTCTCATTTCACACGGTGAGTTTTTCACTACCGAATGCGAAACAGTCTGCGACGTTTTAAAGTACAACAGACAAAAAAATCTGATTCATTTTTTTACTATATATTCTTCATAAAATTTACTAAAAATTTATGGAACAGAAAAAAAAAGTTATGGACTAAAATTCGAGAAAAAAACTTCCAAAGTTGAAGCAGCGGTAGTGAAAAACTCACCGTGCATTTCATAGTTTCATCGTCCAAAAAACAATAATTTGATTTAAATTCAAAAAAAATCATTTTTACACGACACAGTTTTAATTAAAGGAACATTCCCAAACACAGAGATAGGTCCCGTAACGAATAAACCGTACTTCGCTGCACGCTCTACCACTTCATTTTTGCTTTTTCTTTTTTTTTTTTAGGATCATTGACCGCTTCACTTTTTTTTTGAGGAGTATCTGTGCGACTGTTGACTAATGAGAGAAAAAAGTTGTTCCAGCAGAAACCTATAATTTCAAGAAAAAACAAAACATTCTGAATATAGTTCAGTGAAAATGTGCTGAAACTCGAAAAAAATTAGAAAATTTTTTCTCTTTTGCTGGTTTTTTTCAGAAAGATATTTTTTTTCAAAATTTTAGGCTCATGTTATAACATCTTTTTCCTAGCACTGAGCAGAATGGCGCCAAATTTTTGAAATTTGAGATCTCAACTCAGATAGCGCCAAAAACACTTTGCAATCTGGGTTTGAAAAACTTACTCATTTGTGCACTGTGTTTTTGTCTACTTCATGTACAAAACTTTGCTTATTATTTCTCATTCGATGCTCTGATTTTTCTAGACTCGTCCCTTGTTCAATTCATGCCGCGTCCAAAGAAGAACTTAGTGGAAGCAGCTAGTGCAAAAGGTACACATGCTGATTTAATCACTAGAAGTAAAACTTAATTTACAGCTTCAACAGTGGATTCTGCGGAAGCTGATGCAACTGGTGATGAGCATCCGAAGATAGCGGTAACTGAAGGCAGCGGTGACTCCAGTGATGTCGTCTCAGCAGCATCAGCACAGAAGCCGAGAGGCAGAGGCCGCCCAAAGCAGGTGAAACCCGTTGCTGGAGACACTACTGAAGGTTAGTTTTTTTTTATAGCGATACAAAATTCGAAGAATTCCGTTTTCAGAGCAGTATGAACCAACTAAAGAGGAGAAAAGGGGTAGAGGAAGAGGCAAGATCCCTTCACAGGCCGAAGACGTTTCCGACGAGACCAATCCTCGTGGACGAGCCAAGAAGACTGAAAACGAAGGAGATAACATCGTCGATAGTGAAGAAACCGGCAAGAACGTTGCAACTCCGAAGTCTGCTAAGAGAGGTCGTCCAAAAAAGACTACACAAATCGAAGATACCAATAGCGAAGATAGAAATCCTTCCACGGAAGAGGTTCCGAATGTCGGAACAAGCAAAAAAGGAAGGGCGCGCAAGATCACTACTTCATCAGAGGTTGACGCGAGACCAGCTACCCCAACCGACGCAGCTGATGCTGTTGCTGATGGGAAAAAGGGACGTGGCCGCACTAAGAAAGACGTTACCTCGACTTCAAAGCAAAATGACACTGAGGAGAAGAAGCATGGTGATGAACCAAAGAAAAGAGGTCGTCCAAAGAAAGTTGTGGAGAAAACATCAGGCGGTAGCGATAATGAAGGTTCGTTTAATCGGGAAATAGGTATTTGTTGGGTGTATTATATTAGAGATAAAACCACATTTGAAAAGTATGTTCAACCTTGTATTATCTTTTCAGCTGCACCGTCGACTTCACGCAACGAGAGAAAACGAAAGGACGAAGCCTCACAATCACAAGTTGCTAAAAAGTCTTCAAAGCAAACTTAGATTCACTTAAAACCGTCCATAACATCAGCAAACTCCCCGTTCACCGAATCATTGTCAAATTGTTTATCAACTGTCAAACCAGTAACCGACTTATTGTTGATGTTTTAATGTTTTAACTGTCGGAGATTCCTGATTCTTGAAAATCAATAAACTTCTTGAATTATTTCTATGATCTTGTTTCATCGCGTGGGGTACCTCTCGCCTCGGTACCTTCTGCGTCTCGCATGGACGGCCTCCCGCCCGAGAAATGCGCCTTCGCAGAGAGACTAGTGCTCTCTCCTCTCGTTTTCAACAGGATTTATTTTTTATGCAGATTTCGCCAAAATAACTAGGTTTTTCGAAGATTCTAATGTTTTTCTTGTTCAAAACTTGAAGGTGGGGGGACAGGAGATTTTACGGGGGATTTTTGGGACCAGAGTATGCATTCTACCGTGACGGTGTACAACGCTTAATGTCACTCTGCGTACAGCTGTCGTCCTCGCCTTTATGTATGCAATCGGGCGACCGCTTTCCCTTTGCCCGTGTAGCTCAGTCGGTAGCGGCGCCGCACTCTCAATCCTCGTCCCACACGTTCAACTCCTCGAGAGGCATATTTAAACGAAATTTCGAGAACATTATTTTTTTTCATGTCCACCCACCTTTAAAGTATATTACCTTTGTCATCTTATTATGCTTCAAGGATTTTTTTTTCCTACAGTTTTTCTCGGGTTTACCTCGGTTGTTAGTTGTTGAATCGTCCTTCACATCACTGTAATAAGCTAAAAGTATTTTATCTGATTTTTCGAATCTCTAATAATTGCAAAATGTTAAATTATAACCCAGTGATGAAAATATAACTATTTTAATTTAGATTGGGCGTTTTCTGTTCATTTTTCCAGTTGAGCTATTGTTAAACCCTCTTCGCGTCTTCTCCTTGTGGACGTAACTTGTGAATACTTATCTCAAAATGTATAATATTGATTTTTCAGGTAAATCAAGCGAATTCCCGGAACAGGCTTACGGAAAGGCGTTGATACCAGCTTCCCATCAACTGATACCGGAACGCATCATAGCGGTTAGTCACACCAGAGCTCAAAATTCTTCTGTGCCAAATTTTTCAGGTTCTCTGGAGTCAACAGCGATGAGTGAATTCAATCATCCCTTAGTTCACAAAAAGTTTATTCAACAATTTACCATAGTACGCATCTATCTGGAACTGGAGCTCCTGCTTTCATTTTTCAGTAGAGATCAGAGAAAACGAGTAAACCGACATAAAAATGAAGGCAGGAGTTATACTTCCAGGAGTGCGTTTTGTTTTGTCCATTGTACATCTCTCTACCTTTTTTTGTTACTTCCTTTTTCTTCTCCGTATCTCTTTCTTTAAGTATTTCAATAAAAATGTTGGCCTTAAACTTTCTGTTGCTTCAGTATTCTCTTTGAGACTGTCGAAAAAAGAAGCTCAGAAACGAGCAAGAATAAACTTTCAGGTCACTCGAAATATACGAAGAATCAGTAAATATACGAAGAATCAGTATTGATTTAACAGGATCGAATAAGTTGATTGGAACAGTGCAACAAAAAGTTATGAGCTGATTAATGTAAAATATAATAGCACCCCTTCTTAAGACTGACACTCAACTTGGGTCTCACTCATCTCATTTTCTACGAAAGATTGTTAAACAGTTGAAGTTGTGAAAAAAGTCCAATAAATTAGGTTATCTGGAAGGCATGTATTAAAATATCTAATACACCGTATTTACTCTATGAGCCCAATCGAACCGTCAACTTTGAACTCAATTATCTCGATTACTGTGAAAGATATCAAATATTTGTCAACTGAGAAAACATTGTTCATTTTATGGTTAACATTTTCTTAGTTGATCACTTCAATTAACAAAATGTTTATTAATTAACAAAATGTTTATTATTAGTCAATTTACAAAATGTTTATTATAATGTTATTCGTGTTTTTACAGTAAAACACTTTTTGATACCTTTCACAGCAATCGAGATAAATCAGTTGAAAGTTAAGAGCTCAAATAGTCTCACTTTGAGCTCAATTATCTTGGCTCCTGTGAGAGATATCAAAAAGTCGCCCAGTGATAAAATATTGGAAATGTTATTATTAACATTTTGTTAGTGGACCACTTCCTGATATCTCCTACAGCAAATGAGATATATAGGCTCAAAGTTAGAGAAATGTATGGCCCCGCTCATGAGTCACAGCTCTCCTGAAAATGATCCAAAGTATTTCGTATTTTTAGAGGGTGTGTTTAATGTGTTGGTAAACAAAATCATAATATCACAATGAAAATTGAGAACAAAAAGTTTTCCCAAATTTCACAAAAACTCCCAACGGCCGAAAGTCAAGTGCCCATTGAGTGGTTTTTCTCAAAACTTACTGTTTTTTGATAAAAACGTTAATTAACTCATGATTCACATCCTCTAAAAATTTCAATAAGTTTGGACCAATTTCAAGCGAGTTATGGCTCATGAGGCAATGCATACCTTCTTTGCTCGGCAAACACATCACAACTCAAAAGCCGATTTTTCAAACATTCTCAAAACTATTTTTTTTCACAGATTTAAATATTGTGATAACAAGGGGTACGATTCTGATTCACAACCCGTTCAGAATAAACGCCTGTCTTCGTTGTTTGCGAAGCTACAGTACTCCAGTAGTAAAAAACAGGACCTTTTAAAATGATGATAACTTGGTTCGCACTTTACTAAATTTTTTGATTTAAAAACCTAAATGCTCAATGATATTTTTACTACAAACGCTCCGTTTTCTTTATTTGAAAAAGCTCTTAGTTTTTTAAAGAGATTGGAAAAACCTCGAAAAAATGGTGTTTTTTTCACATTTTGTACTGAATTTTGTTTCGATGATAACTTCTTTCATTCTAAAGCAAACAAAACAAACTATATTGCAAAAAAAAACTCAAACAATTCTTAAAAACTGCTCCGTTTCCGATTTTTGAGTTTCTTAGTTTCCGGTCCGAAAACGGCGAAACAATGAAAATCACGACAACATTGAAGGAAAAGCACTGGAAGGATCAAAAATTCGGCGAAGGTTTCTACATTACGTCCCGTTGTCAACATCGACAAATAATTCCTTGTTGATTTCAATTCCATTCATGGTCCAGATTTGTCTGTGTAACGGAAAAAGTACTTCGCACACCTAAATAGGCCCTATTTGTCGGAGACATAACTTTTCACCTAGAAATTAATAACAATTGTAGTCACGCTCTTCTTTTATTGTTTTTCGTTTCAATCTCTTTAAAAACGTTTCGTTTTCCAGTTTTCCAGCCAATTTTTACGAACGTCTCTATTTTTGTCGCAATCGCGCTCCATTAACACGCGTTAGAGAGCGGAAGACGCAGCGCGTCGCCTTTTCAGTGGGCGCCATGGTGCATTTCTCGTGCGGGAGGCCGTGTTTTCCCGGATTGGATCACCTAGCGTTGTTGTGTTCGGCTCGGAGCAATTTTTTAAAATGTTCTTTTGATTATTCATCAAGTGATAATAACCGCTTTTTAAGAAAACTATCCCTATGTGATGCTGAAAAGGAATTTTTTTCACGAGTTTCGTCGACATAACAGGAGTTCAAGATGGAACGCAGATGCTCATTTGAGGTGAATACAAAGCCATATCAATATCAAATAACTGATTATACTCAGAGCTCACGAACGTTCTGCCAATGTTGAAGACGACGCAATCATGAGAGTCGATACATGTCAATTGGCTGCCAACAATCCGATCGAAGATTTTTATTCTGCAGCTAAATGTGAGTACTTTTGAACTCTTTTTCGATGAAAAAAAAGTAGAAGATTCTGTGTTTCCTCTTGGATAACTCAGTTTTTGTCGGAACAAGGTATCTGATTTATATTTTAATCAGTTTTGCAGGCATATCGAGCCGTGCTTTTCTTTTCGGAGTATTTGATGGGCACGGCGGTCAACAATGTAGTCGTCATATTTCTACAAATCTCTATCCGTACTTATGTGCTTCAGTATTAAAAAAGCATGAAGTGAGTCGTTAGTTCTTATATGCATTAAATGTAAACAAAATGACAGCATTGTCCTTATCAAAAAGAGAGACTCTTCCCAAGTCCCAAAAACCATATTCCCCTGAAACCGTATGAAAAATTGAAGCTCCTCAAGGAAAGTCAGTCTACTGCGCTACTGCGGTATTTAGAGTTAAGTGAAAGCTCAGAATTGGCTCCGATTTCCCCGAAAAAAAACAACTTTTTTTTGATGACAACATTTTTTCGCTATCGGAGGAGTCTGGAAAAACTAATCTATCGCATCTAAATAGAACCAACGAAACTTAAAAAAAGGTTCTTAATAATTGATTAGTACTGGTCATTGAATAGTAAAATGAGTTTAGTCGCATTACATCTTGTCAAAGTAATATAAATAGTTTTTTTCAGATAGGTGACTATTCTCCAGACCAGAGACTTGAATGGTTGTTCAGCAGCTCCGACGGCCATCTCCCAAACGCATTCAAATCCCGGGAAACACGCAACATCGCTGCTTATCACAAAGAATTCAAAAAGAACCCGAATACCTACACAGGAACTGTTCGAGAAGCATTAAAACTCGCATTCGAAACATGTGATAAGGATTTGGGCGATAATGCACTGCCCAATGCGAAGGGAGTCATAGATAGGCACGCCGCGATGGTTGCTGCTTCAGGATCGTGCTGTACTTTGGCCCATATTCGATCAAGGCATTTACACGTGGCCAATCTTGGAGATGCTGCTGCAGTTTTGGGGGTTGTGAACCCGAATGGCAGCGTAACAGCTAGGCAACTTTCAAGAGCACATTGTGTTGACAATGCCGATGAAGTGCAAAGGATTCGAATCGCTCATCCCGCTTCGGAATCTCAAACTGTCTTGCGAGGTGGACGACTGTTGGGAGAGCTTTTTCCACTACGTGCATTTGGAGACGTTCGATACAAGTGGCCGCTTGATCTTCAGAAAGTGGTACTAGAACCACTGGGCCATCCACCACCCCAGCACCTCTACACTCCCCCCTATCTATCGACATCACCGGAGGTTTTCTACCACAAGCTTACACCAAATGATAGGTTTCTCGTGTTAGCCACGGATGGTTTGTGGGAATGGTTAGATCCTGATACTGTTGTTCGTCTCGTTCATGATCACACACTGGGAACAATCACACAACAAGCGTATGTGCCCAAGTCAGGCACAACACTGCAACAAGTTCGGGAGCAATTGAAAGAAAGAGCAAGAGGTGAACAGAAAACCAAAAAGCCGATCGATGAGAACTGTGCCACCCATATTATTCGACATGCGCTTGGAGGTGTAAGTGGAGGAGCAACAAAACAGTATGAACGCCTTATAGATATTCTGCAGGTCAGTTTCCAATAACTTTTTCTTTTTTTTTTTGGTAATCTTCAATTCATAGGTACCACCTGGTCGCGCTCGGAATTATCGTGACGACATTACAGTAATTGTCATCCATTTCAACGAAACTTTTCTGGACGGACACGAAGAAGACGAAGAGTAATAATAAACAGAAAATGCCTAGAATCTTTAAACTGCCATTTCTTTTCAGCCACCTATAGTTGTACTGGTACCCCTTTTTCTAATTTTACAAATTACAGTGAAACCGTTCTTGTAACTTCTATGACAGAGTTTCTCCAATGTGCTCATTTCTTTTTTCCGGTTCTCCGTTTAGGTTTCTTTTTCTTGTATATAATAGCTGCATTTATTGTTGATTGGTGCTTAAATCAATGAATTGTCTTGATAATAAAAATTGAAAGCAAGAATAATGTGTATTAGTTTCGAATGTTGAGAAAATGAGATTTTTGGATTTGTGGAGATGATACGGACCGGGTGCAATTTTAAAGATCAAATCAACGCATGTACCCTTGTGGTGGTGGTTGAGATCCAGGCGGTGGGTATCCTTCATATCCATGCGGAGGTGGTCCTACCTGATATCCTGACATTCCTAAAAAATAGTATTTTGGATTGACGAACAGTTCATGCAAACCTTGGTGTGGGTAAGGGTATGGCATTCGTTGCCCGCCCATCTGTGGAGCAGGTTGCCCGAATGGAGGATATCCTTGTGGCACTGGTGGTCCTCCTTGTTGTTGCTGCTGGGCTCGCATCTGAGCTTGAAAAGCATGGTGATTCATCATGTCCTGCGACCCATTCAATGGCGGAGGTGCGAACCCATGTGAAGGTTGAATTGGACCGCCTGGCGGCCCATTTGGACTTGGAGCAGCTTGTGGTGGCATCATTTGAGAATGATGGTGACTGGGTCCTTGCGAATGATGGCTTTGTGAAGACTGAGGAGGCTGCTGCGATTGTTGAATATGTTGCTGAGATGTGACAGGTGCTGGTTGAACATGAGGGTTTCCTAGCGGCTGTGCAGGATCTGCCTGTGGCGATAAATCATCTCTGAGTTGATGAATAAGATATGGATCGGCAAGGTTAGCCAGGTGTACCAGGTTCCTGTGTAGGACATGTTGATGCTTCACAGCTTCGTCCGCTCTACTCTGTAATCGGTTGGTTTCCACATTAGAAAGTAATGAGGCTCAGCTAACCTGGTTTTGATATTCTCGTATGATGTCTATCAGCCTAGAATTTTCGTCAAGCAGCTTTTGTACTGTCGATTGCTGATCTGGGACATTTGATCTCTGCGACGGTGGTAGGTGCACCGTGGACATCTAAGTTAATAAGTTCATATGCAAGTTAAATCTACAAAAAGTAACATTTGGTGAATGTAACACCACAAATAACGAATTGAGAATCAGCTTGTGAACATTTTTATTTTCTATGAAACGATGGAAATCTAAAGAAAATATTCATTCGAAGAATTACTTAGTTCCGATTCTGGTTCTTCTGTTCCATGAGAAGTTTTGTCCATAATTTTTCGGTTTGATCTTGCGCTCATGAGGCTCCTCGACATCGAATTCCCAACGGTTTTTCTCGCAAAAAGCGATAGCATCCTCTTTCGTTGCAAACTTCATATTCATGCCCACATTAGAAAGTGGATCAGCACTGGAAAAATACTTTCTAACGTTCGAGAAATGAGATGATTTTGAGAGTCTTACGTTCCGGACCATCCGATCAGAGGATTTTCCCATCTTTGGCGGTTATCGAGCTCGATAGTCCAAGATTTAGTGTTGGCCCAAGCACTTTGAGGAGTTTCTCTGGCTGGACGGAAAATTCTTGCAGTACGAGCATCCTGATGCTGAAGAGGAACACCTCCAATATCCATCGTTTCGTCGGAAGATACCTTTACAGGGACCTGAAATGATTTCCCTGTTCAGCATATTTTAAACTGAGAAAAAAAAAACAAATTACCTTCGTAGATGGTTTCTCAAGAATATCGTTCAATTCCATTTTCTTTGCGTCGTGAGATCTGGTGACAGGCAAATTGTCCTTGCCAGTTGAGAGGCAACGCAACGTCGAATTTCCGACCACGAGACATCGAGAGGCTCCTGCTCGAAGCATCTAAATCAATAATATGACAAAACAATGATGACTTCGGAAGACAAAACGATTTTTACTCTAAAACGAAGCATGTGAAATTGTCGCGCTTCCAACGACACTCCGCGATAACGGCATCGCGCGTTGTTTAGCATGCTATAGCACCATTGTTTGGGTGTGTTTTTTGAATGTTTTTACCTCGGAATTCGTTTTTTTTTGAATTTGCAGTTATGATTAAAACTGGGGTTATCCATGACATTCAAACAGTTATCAAAAGCACGGTCACAAATTAAGTTTCGAAATTTCAAAGTAAAGGCAGTGAAGAGAAAATCCATCTGACATGAAAATGTTCAATTTTCTAGTTTCCTCCCTCGAGTTGTTTTTCCTATTTTTGCGAAGTATTCCTATCCTTCAAAGAAAACATGAGTTTTCCTCTCTAAAAAACGCTTACTATTATTCTAGTCCGAAACAACTGTTTTCTTCGGAATTTGAAATTTTTTTAGATGGCTGCTTCTGATGGTCTAGAGAAAAGCTTGGCGACTGGAGAAGACAAAAAAATGGATGAAGAAGTACAAGGAGAGGGGGAGCAAGAGGAAGATGAAGACGGCGAACCAGTCTGGCAGGTATGAGAAATCAGAGAAATGATTGAACGTAAATGTAATTCAGGTCAGAGAAATTACTCGAGCGAAAGTCGAGGGTAAGAAGATTGTGCTTTTTGTAACCTGGGATCTTGATGGTTCAACTAGCTGGGAACCACTTGAAAATTTTCCTGAAGAATTGAATCACGAAGTTGTCAAAGATTTTGTGAACCGATTCCCGGATAAATGGGCAACTGTTCAGAAAAGTAGGTCCAAACTACAACATTAAGAAGAAAACTAACAGTAAAATTGTAGATCTCGAAAAAAAAACCCGAAAAAATTGGACATACACAGTGGTTGACGCTGACATGTACGAGAAGCCAGACGAATCTGCCCCAAAAGAAGCGAAGCGCTTGGCAGACCCAAACCGATTGGAAGATCCCACTGAAAAGGTAGAAACAGATGATTCGTCTGTCGTATAACCTTTTGTTCGTGTGCATTTGATAATAAAAATGTTCTTTGTTAATTTCTGTTTCTTAGACCATTGATTTGAGCGGTCTTCTAACACGGTCCTCTTTAGACGTTCCAAAGTTGTATCAAAAGTACAGCATGACATTTTTCTTTAAATATGTATATTTCGTTTTGAATGATCATCATTTCAATAGAATTTCAGTGGCTAAAAACGTATGGTGAAGGAATCGAAGGACGTTTGTCTCGCAGCAAAGCTCATGCCGCTCAACAAAACATAAGCGGTGTTCCATCAGTTTTGCCAGTTCAAAATGTGGTTCCAGAAGAAAAGAAAGAAAATAAAAAACGCGGAAGAAAACCAAAAGAAGAGGTGAGGCAAAATCATACTCAAAAATTAAACTTCATCTTCGCTACTAACCATCACCTGATTTTGTATGCTACTACGAGGTCGCTTTTCTATTGTCGAAAAAAAAACAGGCACCTGAAAATTTCGCGGGAGCCACTACTGTCGCTTTACCAGTCCGCGAAATACATTTCTGCAAATTTAGTGGGGTTTTATGGCAGATCAAAACAAGCGGGGCGGCCCCCAGTTTCTCAGGTGATAGTTTTTCTTGAATTCGAATTTCCTTTGACCACTTCACAATAAAACTAGAAACGTTGGTTTCCCCATTGAAGAGCGTCGTCTCCAAAAACAGCACTCTCTTTAAAACGAAGTATGTTTTGTTTTCATGGAATGCTATATGTCGATGTGCCTGAAGTTTCACATAAAGCTTCCCCCAAAACGTCGTTTTGCAGACCGTGATTCCTACGAATCTCGTCTTTTACCCAATGTGTTAAAATGTCTTTTTCAATACTCTGAGCATTTTTTCAGTCTTCTACATCTACATCGAAAAAGAAAACTGCTGCTAGCGGACGAAGACGAACCACTAAGAAAACCGACAACGATAAGGAAACAATTCCCAAACAAACGGAAGAATCAGACATAAAACAGGAAGAACCTTCAAAATCAACAGAAGAAATGATTGAGCCTGTAGAAGAACCGGAAGAGAAATCTTTTCCTCCAAATAAAACTGCGCCTGTGCCAAGCACCGACGGGTGGCAACGTAAGCATCGCGATAAACCATTGAACTCCTCTGACGAGGAAGAAGGCAGTAGCTCGATTGGGGAAACAATGGAAGCATTTGAACCTCAAGTTTTCACCTCAAGTGTGTCATTGTCAGGAGGAAGAATAGAAGCCGGCGCAAACTCTCGTTCTCTATCGCCGGTCCCAAATACTGCTCCTTCGACTTCAGAAGTACCTGTGAAAAGAAAGAAAACATCTGTTCCGAAGTCCGAAAGCAAGGAACATCGCTCCCACAAGAAAAAACCAAAAGCACAGGACGACGAGGAGAAAATCACAAAGACTAAACATAATAAGCCACTGAAAGTGATTCCTAAGGATCCTAGAGTGCGATATGCGGATGAACCTCAAGGCAACCTTGGGATTGAAAAGGTGAATTTAAAAATCTTACCCCTTCCTCTATAAACACATTATTCCAATTTATACGATATTTAGGCCTTTGCCGAACTAGGAATCACGATTTCAAAGGAGAACCCAAAAGATCGACTAATAAAGGAATTCGAAACTAGGAAGATGAATTATCCGCAGCAAAAAAGCCTCGATCTTGCAATCAGATCATTGGATGCAGAAGCAACAAAAATCATTCTCATGGAGATTGGCCCAAAGCGTGCTATGGATGAGCTTCGTGTATCCAAGAGTCTACACGAGGTGAGGGAAACAAATTTAAGTGTGAGAGTTCAACAACACATTATTCAGGTGCTAACGCAACGTATGAACAAAAAAGTAGAAACTTAGCGACCCCCAGTCAATTGGAAATACGACAACAACAGACGGAAAAAGTTATCCGCGCCGCACTGCCGCATCTTCCACAAGAAATTCTAGTGGATCAAAATGATAGTTTGAATACTCTCCTACATTGTGCTATCAACACGGGAGACAAGAATCTTGTCGAATATCTCATCAAAATGGGCTCGCCACTGCATGTTCGTAACTGTCATGAAATGACTGCTGCAGAAGCGTGTGTAGTTATGAAAAACTCGGTTCTCTTGAGCATAGTTCTTCGACACGGAGGAACGTTCCATCATATTTGCTCCAAAAAAGAACTGAAAGATATGGGGTTCAATGCAAAAGAACAGGAAAGATTAGATCAGTAAGTTCTCAAAAGCTTATGTATTTTATTCATATTTTTCTTCAGTTTCCAATTGTATACATTCTTGGAGAGGCTGAGCCAGAATGATGAGATCAAAAAAGTCAAGAGTGTGGCAATCGAGCACAACCTGAAGTTACAACAAGCATGTGATAGACTTCGTCGCACTCTGATATCATCTCGACTCCTGGAGAGGGAATTAGGTCCGCTCATGTCCTTTCCTCGTGGAAATATCCGCCAATTCGGTTCTCGACAGACAATTCAATTTACAATTCCGGAATTGTGGGTCCAGTCGAAACAGTTCAAGTTCATGTTAGCTGTCATCCCAATGACGTTCGACGACAAAAGGGTTCGTTCCGGTTCTTTTATTCCTAATTTTTTATCTGTGCTCTTTTTTAGAAACTCTTCGTCGGCACTTCCCGAAAAGCACCAATTAGAGGAGTGCCCTATCTCTGTGGATATCCTTGTAAACCTATGACAAGAAAAAATTTAGTGTTTTATCGAGCTACAACTGCACTCCGTAAGCATGTCGCATTTATGCAACAGAACGGAACCAAGAACTCTCATCTATCATTCCCCGATATCAGAAGTGTTGAGAGCCTTGGAGAACGAGAACGAATGATCAAAGAACGTAACACAAGGACAATATCTCCGATGATGTGTACACTTTCTATTGAGTTCGAGGCCATGATTCCATTTTCATTCTTTGCTTGCCAACTGATCAGATATGTACCAGATAAATCGTCTCTGCGCTCGACCTCAAAAACTGCATCTCGACCTTTCCCTACCGGAAGTTCAACATCTGGAATACCAAACCGTCCAAGCTCGAATATCAACCGTCCAACGTCTTCGAGCTATTATCGGGATAACAAAAGTCAATATACTCCAGGATCTTCGAATCGTTTTGGCTCAACTTACCGACCACCATCATCTTATCAGAATCGAGTGTCACATGGTCAAGGGCAGTTCAACAAACCTTATAATCGACCAAACACCCCACAGTGATACACCTCGTTTTGGAAAAGCACCTGAAGTAGTTGCGCTTTGTCAAACTCGAAGTTGGTCCCAAAACTGTCAGTTTCGACTTCAGGTGCCTTTCCGCGATGTCGTGATGTTTACATTCCCCGAACCACTTTTTGTCAGTGTTCTCTTTAAAGCACGGGTTTTTTTTTGCTTTATTAGCCTCCTTCTAGAACCATCTTTTAATAAAAGCAGTGTCCCCATATTTTTCTGTGTGGCTCTTTCTGTTTTCTCCTGTTAGATTCAACTCGGCCTAATAAAGAACATTCTTGAGCAGATTACTGTTTCATTTTAAAACGTGTATTCTTGTTTTTCTGCTTACATAACATTTGCCAAACAAATGAAATTCACTTGAACGACTAAAATGTTCACAAGAAAATAAAACATTCACAATTTGTTTATTATTTGAAACACGGATTTTAGGTTACATGTGGTTACTTTAAACTTTAGTTCAAAATGTGAGAAAATAAAAAGAAATTTTAAATATCGATGCAAGAGATCAGGAAGGCAATATTTTGTTGAGTTGTTAGATGGTTCGAGCCCTACTTGATTGAATTTTTGAGCAAAAACTTCTATATTTTAACACTAGTGTTTATTCGGCTTTCTCATGATCGTCATCCGTTTCTATTGTGTCAGTTTCCTCTTCCTCATCTTCGAGTGCTTCGTCGCCATAGAATTCATCGCGATCGACAGTGAAATCGGCAGAACAGATGCTGAAAACGAAAGTTTAGAGCGAATAGTCTAAGATTTTTCAGTGATTCGGTTGCTATTCTTCAACAAAAGTTTCGAATGACATGTGAATTCGTTCCTCGTTAAATGCGTATGCCTTTCTAATGTTGGAGCAAAACATGCATACCTATAACAAATGATGCTGAGAAAAGCAATAGGAACTCCGAAAAGACAGGAAGATAGCAATGGCTGAGTAGCAAACATTTGTGCAATATTCCAGTATAATTCGAAAATCATTCTCTTCATCCGAGTCAATAAATTACGGCCTGAAAGTATTTAAATGATTGAGAATTACTGGTTCTTCCCATTACCTCCGAAGGCAATAATTGTACCCTTATCTATTCCTTCAGCAGTTTGCTCCAAGAAAGTAAAAATTGATTTAATTGTCATTTGGCTTGGTTCATCTTCGCTGAGATAGTACTCATAGCTCGTGTAGTTGAATACAAACAAGTGGGGTTCGGAAACAGAGGCCATTTGAATTTGAGAGGCAAGGTCTGAACCATCAAGCCATGCAAACTGGAATCGATTCCAAAGCGCCGAGTGTTTCCTCATTTCCTTTGATGCATCTTCAGCAACTTTATGAAATTCGCGAACCGGGCTGGTTGTATTGAACTTCTGACTCTCACTGGATACAATGAGAACAACAAGTTTCCCACTTGCACCGAGTTCAGCAAGGTTTGATGATGTCGCGTGGACAAAGGTTGGCCATCGCTCTCTGACAACCCAATCTTTCAATGCTTCAATGTCTTCTTGGAACTCAATTTCAACGTTATCTTTCAAAACAACCACTCTTTGGCGGAAATTTGTTTCTTCTTTGGAAGGAGCTACTGTGTAAAATCTAGCAACTGAAAATTTCGCATTGGCTGCTTCGTTAAAAGCATCAAACAATGGACCCGAAGAATGGCCGAAAAAGATGTAGGATGGTTGAGAACGTGCAGATAGTTTCACCTGAAAATCAAGAAATTCGAATAGTCTTAACCCTTTCAAAAACCTTTTCCACTTGGTTTTCTTTGATAGTCTCTATAATTGGAGCTGCGCATCTCTTCGCAAAACTGACCAATGCCTCTTTTTCTCTTCCGCCTCTGTATTCAATAGCATGTCCATTTCGAAAGCTGAAAATTCATATCACAAATGTTTCACCAATATAGAAATCTTACAAAGTGATAGTTGGATATCCCTGGATACCAAGTTTGTTGGCGACAGCAGGGAATCGTGTGCAATCGAGTTTACCGACCCTGAAAATTTCAAAATCCTATTCCAACAGAGAATATTGCCGAACATTTGTACTCACTTGAATACTTTTTAAATTTAAATAGCTTTCTTCTTTTCGTTTTTTTTCAAATATATGAATCATCAGAGTTGATGATTTCATATTTTAAATATTATTTTTCTTCAATTCGCATCAGACCCGAATTCCTTTGTTCTCCTAACAGACAACTTTTTGCACGTTGATTTTTTTTCCTATCTTTTATCTTTCTCTCTGTGCAATATTATTGTTGCACATTGCAATGTAAGAAACGGTCGCTTTCTTCTGACCGTCTTGTATTCCTTTTCTTTTTTCATCTCAATTTTTATATCAATGTTTAAATTTCTACCTTTTTAAGCAGATACTTTTTAACATTTTTGTGTCTTTACAAACCTGATTTGAAGGTTGCTATCTGACAAGGAGTGTCCAACTTGATCCCACACGGGATGTAATCTTTTGCAATGTGCACACCACGGAGCATAGAACTGAAAAGTCGGTTTCTCTCAATTGCACAACAACATTCACAAAAACTCACTTCAACAAACCACATTCCTTCATCTTTGACATCCAAAAATTTGTCGCTCAAATCAAGAACGGCCGTGGGAGGATTGATAGCTTCTGTTTCTTCAGGCACTAACAAGATATAGACAATGCCCACAATGGCTAGAAACATTTTTGAAATGTAGTATTCAGTTTGTGACACCCAAAACTTTAATCAATACTTGGGGGAACAGTTGGTGTGTGTGCGACAGCTTCAGGAGCTTGCAACCGAAGCTCATTTGAATGGACGCAACAGCGCTCTAATGTGGCAGTTGTGTAGTCCGCGAGGACAATATTACTGCATTCAGAGTTCCTTCTTGAAAATTAGAGCCATGGAATCAGACAGGATATGAACGGTTAGAGTTATATTTGTAAAATGGGAGTAAACTGGAAGTTTTCGAGATCGCTAAAATTAGTTTTTCGATGATTCTGAAAAAATTTCAGTTACTCGAATGATTTAGTTCAAAAATTGAAAATAGATAACTTTGTTTTTATAAACCTCATGTTTAGATTTAATGAAAAGTTTGAATCTACCGGGAGCAAAACAAAAACAATACGAGACAATACTGGAAATCACTTTACTATATACTGTTGAAAAAGAGGTTATCATTAAGGAGTAAAAAAGTGAATCAGAGACTTAAAAAAATCAATATCGAGTTGATTTTCTCTTTTTCGAAACATTTTATTGAAAATATCGAATGAAACACGGCCTCCTGGCGAATAAATTTTTCGCGAAAAACTACGGTCGACAATGCCTTTTCCCCCTCTCCCTCTCGCCCGTGCAGACAGGGCGCGCTTGCATTACAAAATTGCGTACTTTTTAGCTCAACTTCGAAGACGTCAAGCTCATGAAAAACAGCAGAGTTTATTTGAAAAATATATCAAAATGGATAGAAAAACTCATCAACTATTTTTTAAAACAAAAAGTTCACACTAATTTTCATGGCTGATAGAATAAGAGGCTATAGAAGCAAGGTAGCATATTTTCAGAAAAATAGGATATTCAGACTATTCAGATTCATTATTTTGAAACTAGCAAAGAATCAACGTAACATGAGTCTAGTTGAATACCCTGACCAATTTTGGCTCATCTACATATACTCTGAATAACTTTTGTAGGCCAATTTGTAGTGATTTTTGGACGTTTTGGTTGCAAATTTCTTTAAAAATAAATTTTCGAAAAATCCGAAACCAACAGTTTGTAGACAATTTAAAACCAATTATTTTGATGTATCATCCAAAATAATCGGTCCACGGAGACTCTCAAAAAATACAGGTCAATTGTTCAGCACTAAATTTCGCTTTTTTGAGGGTTTTTGAAACTTTTCAAAAAATCAAAATTTTTTATCGAAAAACTGCTTCCAACAGAATGTTCTAAACTTAATTGCGGTTATTTTAAGCCATAAACCAGCTTCTTTGCTCGTGAACTTATGGAATAAAGTGGGTCCAAAATCTGTTTTTCTGTTGTTCTTCTCATTTTTTTTAGGTTCCAGGCTGTAATTTTATGAGAATTCTATAATTCCACTATCGTTCTTGATTTTCTTGGAAAAAAATTCATCAAAAATGGTCCAGTTTCAGCTTTTTCAGCCATTTTTTCAATCTGTGTCCTGGTGACGAGAGTTAAGAGGGCTTTTTACTGTAGTTTATTGGTCTCACAGCGGATAGTCTAGAAATTGCGCGCGAAGCTATTAATTTCAAAAATGAGTAATGCTTCAATTTTTTCGAAGTTGTACGAAGACTTTGATCTTTCTAATTGAAGAAAACCATCTAGAATAAAATTCTAATAGTTCGGTGCTGTGAGAAACTATGTTATGGGCTATTTCGAACTCTCTTTTTTCATCAACTTAGCTGGTCGTTTTCTGTAAACTTCTGCAACCTAATATCCTCATAACTCTGGTAATTGGTTTCTAACCAGTTTCGGGCAATTTTCCAACCAGATTCGGGAACGCGCATTTTCCAACCAGGTTCGAGTAAAATTCCAATCAGATTCGGAAAGTTTTTATTTTCCGACCAGATCCGGTGATTTTCTGACCAGATCCGACCGAGAAAGCTAATTTCCCAACCTGATTCGGACAATTTTCTAACCAGATCTAGCCATTTCTGCTCCGGAATTTTCCCGAATCTGGTTGGAAACCGATTACCAGAGAAGCTTAAAAGTTTCCAATAAATCTCATTTGGATAATTTTCAGCGATGAAACGAGCAGCATTGATTGAGAAGGAATGGATTCTCAACAAACCAATCGAAGATTTTGTTCTCAAAGAAGTCCGCGAGCTAACATTCAATCGAGCCCGTGGCCTCATCGCCCTTTTCAAAGAAGGCTGTGAAACAGCTTATATTGCTAGATATAGAGAGGATGTTCACGGTGGACTTTCTCCTGAAAAGATTCGGAAAGCGAAAGACACCTACTTAGCTGCAGTTCACTTGAATTCAAAGGTTGCTTCATCCATCACAACAATAACTGGAAAACTAACAGGACTTGATGAGAAAAGAGCAGTTACGGAGAGATTAAAAGGATGCGACGATATGGAAGAGGTATCAGATATCACGAAGGAGTTCGCCCCAGGATCTCGAAAGACCAAAGCAAACATTGCAAGGTATAATATTTATATACAGATTTTTTATAAACGAATTTTTACTATGGGGTCATTCATGGCATTATGCTTCATGAAGAAATATAGTATTTTCACTGTTTTCCAGAGGTCTTGGTCTTGAAGGTCCAGCACTGAAAGTTCTCAATGGAGAGTTTGTCGACTTCTGCAGCTTGATAACCAGAGAGATGAAAACTGTGAGAGACGTTGAGGAGAACATGAAGGCGTTGGTAGCAGATTTGATCAACAAAGACGAAGAAGTGAGGAAAATCGCATTGAAAATGTAACCTATTAGTTTATCCATCAGCTCCGAATTATAAGGATTTCAGCGTTAAGCTGCAAACCAACGTGAGAATGACGGTGACTTCGAAACTGACAAGAGAGGTTGAAAAGAAAATTGAAACGGAAGCTGTCAAAAAGGTCCGCGAACGATACAGAGAAGTTATCGGATTGACACGAACCGCCTATCACATCATGTCTCATACCGTCTCAGCTTTGAATAGAGGTTCCGAAGAAGGAGTTATCGCATGGAAAGTGGAACTCAATCCAAGTGATGTCACGAAAATGCACCCTTTTCAAAAGAAGACGGTGCACCGCAACATGCAAAACTTTTTCCAAAGCGCATATTTTTATTCCATTAATACCTACACCGTTCCGATGTTGGAAAGAGGAGTAAAGTGAGTTTAGGAATAGGAAATAGTTAAAATTGATATTGTTTTTACAGAAGATTTCTGTCAAAATCATCCGAAGAACGATCAATCACCGTTTTTGGAAGGAACGTTGAACAAATGTTCTCCCAAAAAGGTGTTCATTCCAAATATGTAATTGCTCTCGATCCGGGAAGTATTGTGAAAGCTGCATTTCTGGAACCCAATGGAAAAGTCATTGATATGGATCAATTTTCTTTCTCGTTCCGTGCTCCCACATTCGATAGCCGTGGAATCGAAATTCTGAAAAATTGGGCAAAACAAACTATGGGAAAGGATATTGTCGTTGCAGTCGGCAACGGAAGTAATACATATGGAACACAAACTGCAGTTTCCACAATGATTCAAAATGAAGCGTTTCCGAAGGAAATCGATGTCTGTTTCTGGTTAGTGATTCGTTGTTATCTGTATTTATACAATTCATGTTTTCTAGTGTTGTGCCCGAACATGGAGCTTCAAAATATAGCTGCACCGATGCTGCACGCGAGGAATTCGGTGAAGACGTCGATATTAAGTTAATTTCTGCAGTTTCTATCGGAAGAAGGCTGATCGACCCGATGTCGGAATATGTGAAAATCGAGCCGCAGCATCTAGGAAAAGGACAATATCAGCTATCAATTAATGAGAAATCGTTGAAAGGGAAACTGGTGGATGTTGTGCGTGATAGAGTATCACTCATAGGCGTAGACCTGAACTTAGCTAGCGAAGCGCTACTCAGGAACATTTGCGGACTCAATTCGACTACAGCAGCTGAAATTGTTAAATACAGAATGCAGAAGGGGCGGTTCAAGTCGAGAGCAGAATTGAAAAAAGTCAAAGGAATAGGAGATGTTTCATTTCAACAGTGTTCTGGATTTTTGACTGTCTCTCGACCGGACGAGTTAGACCAACCTGCGAAAAAACGATTCAAGACTCCAGATGGCGTAGCTGGGTGGTCGCCTCTAGATACGACGACGGTTCATCCAGATCATTACGGAATCGCTTTGAAGTTTGATGATAAGATCAAATAACTAAGTACATACCTTTTTTCAGACTGATTAGCAAACTGAATCTAACTGTTGAGCAGATCGTATCGGGAGCTGACATTTCTTTTACAAATTTGACACCAGAAGAAGAAGAAATCATCAAACTTTTGCGAGACAAGCCGGATCTGAAGCCTCCACCTGTCATGATGGTACTTGCTGTTTCGATTCCTCTCAATACTTGTTTTTTTTTTCAGAAAAAATGTCGTGCCTTGAAAAATCTCCGAGTCAATGAAGTATTCCTCGGAACGGTCACCAACACAGTGAGCTCATTCTCGGAAGCGTATTTAACGATAGTGAATCTCAGACCGATTTTGGAGTGTTCGTCGACATAGGTGTTGAGAAGGACGGACTGGTACATATCAGCAATTATCGAAAAAATAATGAACAACCGAAAACGAAGAGCAGCAATAACAAAAATGCGCCAAAGTCAAATACTTTTGTCAACAAAAATGATCCAGAAGCAGATTTTAAAAATGTACCGTCAGTAGGAGATCAAATTGAAGTAATTATTCAAGGAATCAAGGGCGATAGGATTTCACTAGTGCCTATCAAGGAACCTAAACCTCAGAGCTCTTCATTTGCATCCGGAAGTCGTTGATACATTTTTGTATAGTGCAACGTTGATGTTATTATAATAAAATCCTTGTTGCTTGTTGTGTGTATTTTGTATGGAAACAGTCAATTATTACCCTTGTCTGAGAAAAAAAAGTTGAGACGCAGAGAAAAAGTGTCTGTGTCTCCACCTTATGTGTGCTATTTAGGCTCTCCGCTTCGATATCGCTACCGTATTCAGACTGCAAAAAATACTCTCTAACCTTTTTTTTCTCAGACAAGCATAATATATTATGCTTGTCTGAGAAAAAAAAAGGTTAGAGAGTATTGTTGGAATAAAAAAAGTGAGACTCGGTGTTGGCGTACTTTGATTCCCGCCTCCCCCCACCGACGCTCCGCCCA